GCAGCACCCTGGTCTCTGAGGTGCTCAGAAAAACCCAGCCCTCTGCTCTAGCTCTGTCTCTGCTACTGGCTGGATTTTTGATTTGCTGCTGGTCACTGTGCACTGGGGTGATGGGTTGCAAACTGGTTTTTGGTTCCAAAAAGCAGCTCTGGAAGGGCTGTGACCCCCCAGGTGTGCTGTGGCTCTTGGTTTTATAACTTTCACGGGGAAAAGGGTTTCTAAAACCCAGTGGTGAGATGGGGGGTGGATGTGCTCATGGCATGCCGGCCTCTCCTTCCAGGCAAAGCGGGCATTGCCAACGGGAGCAGCCTGAACGACGTCACGGAGATGGACTGCAGCTCCTCGGCCATCGATGACCTCATCAAGGAGGTAGGCATGATGACATGGCTGCAGGTCACCTTGGCAGGAGAGGGACTGATGGTGTGAAATTGCCTGATAAAGCGTTGCCTTCCTAAAATTCAATCTGCAAAGTTTTGTGGCTCATTCATGTGAGCCAGCGCCAGGATGCGGTTGCTCGTGCTTTCAGTTTGCATCTGGATGGGCAAGGCTTTTGCTGAGGGACAGAGGATCTTTGCAGCTCTGTTCCCCTTCTCCTCCATGCCGCGTTGGGTTGCTTCTGCTTGGTAGCTCCTGAGGGCGTTATTTGGGTTTCTGGCCTGGGGAATACCAAACTTGCTCTTTTTAACCCCAAGAATTCCTTGGCATCCTGTTGGCATTGCTGTTTGGACTCTGGGTGCTGCAAACATTTCGGTGCAGGGCAGTGGCTGCCCAAGGTGCTGAACCCCCTCTCATCTCGGTGTCTGGTCCCCCACAGCCCCCCTGTGTGGATGAATACCTGGGGATCATCAAGAGAAGCCCCTCACCTCCCCAGGAGACCTGCAGGAACCCCCCGATACCCGACTGGTGGGTGCAGCAGCCCAGCCCTGGTAAGTAGCTGCCAGTGTGTGTGGTGTGTAATGGGACCGAGATTTTTGTTTGGGGCAGAAAAAACTTACTGTACAGTGATGGATAATGGACAACAGTTGTAATTTAAGTTCCTTATTAAGAATGCTTAAAGTACCAATTATGAACACTGTGCTTGGTACCAGGCACCCAATAGTAAGATTAAATCCACCCAGGAGTATTTGCTGGCATCGCCTGTGTGGGAGCTGGGAGCCCTGATTGTCTGGGAGAGAAAACTGGGGGGCTGGTGGAGGGCAGGAGGGGGGAATTGGGGTTTGGGAGCTGGACGTGCATGCCCAGCTTGGCTTTCTCTCTGCCCACAGCGTTGCCCCTGATGAATGGATACTCTGGCTATGAGCAGCATCACTCGGGTAAGGCAGCTCCCCTGCTTGGCTCTGCACTGGGGCCACCAAAAGTGCTTCTGGGGCTTGGTGGCAGAAGGTGGCTCTGACTTTGGGGGAGGCTTTGCTCTGGGTTTGCGGGTTTGGTGCCCTCTTGAGTATCCCCAGGGTTTGCATGCTGAGCAGGGACACATCCTGCCTGTTGACCTGTGGCCATGGCCCTGGCATGGGGGGATGCCCTGGGATGCTGGGACCAGCTGTGCCTTTGGTGCGGAGAGATCTGCCTGCAGCAAGGGAAGTGTGGAGCAAAGGCGGGAGGAAGGGGTTCAGCATCGCTTGCTGATCAGCACTGCTCCAGGCTGAGCCCTGGAGATGTCCTCTAGCAAGTAGGAGGTCTCCTCCCATCAAGTGAGGCTTGCTCCTGGGGAATTTTGCTGCTCTCGCGGGGTTTGGGCATTGCGGTGAAGAGCAGGCAGGGTTTGTCTTCTCCTGATGGGTGGTGAACATGCCCATCACCTCCCAGGTTACTCCCAGATGGTGATCAGCTTCTACTACGGCGGGAGGCTGGTGGGACACATCACCACCTCGTACACCGAGGGCTGCCGCATCTCGCTCAGCCAGCCCTCCAGCCATGGTGACAAGCTCTACGCCCCGGATGCCCTGGAGCATGTGCGATTCCCCTCGGCCGATGTCATCCAGAACGATCGCCAGAAGCAGATCACCAAGAAGCTCTTTGGGCACCTGGAGAGGGGTGTCCTGCTGCACAGCAACAAGCAGGGCATCTTCATCAAGAGGCTGTGCCAGGGCAGGGTCTTCTGGAGCGGGAACACCATGGTCTACAAGGACAGACCCAACAAACTGGACCGGGATGAGGTGGTGAAGATATTTGACACCAACTTATTCTTCAGAGGTTTGTAGGAGCATTCCCATCATCTTCTTCTACTTGGTGGGGTTGGAAGGGTAGAGCCCTTTGGCCTTGGAGGGCTTTGAAGTCATCAGTGCCCATCGCTGGGTTACTGAGGTGCTCTGGATGAGTAGCTGATGCTACCAGATCTAGGAAGGAATAACTTGGTATTTTGTGTCACTTGGTAAATTCATAGAATCACAGAATCACAGGATGGTTTGGGTTGGGAGGACCTTAAACATCATCCAGTCCCACCCCCTGCCATGGGCAGGGACACCTCCCATCAGCCCAGGTTGCTCAAAGCCTCATCCAGCCTGGCCTTGAACCCCTCCAGGGATGGGGCATCCACAGCTTCCCTGGGCACCCTGGGCCACTGCCTCACCCCCCGCACAGGAAAACATTTCTTCCTAATGTCTAGTCTAAATCTGCCCTCTTCCAGTTTAGATCATTACCCCTTGTATTCCTCCCAGTTTTGCACAGCAAAACTGGATTCTCTGGAGCCCACGCCTCTCTGCCAGAGCAGGGTGCTTGGTCCCAAAGCTACGTAGCCAAGGCTGGCAGCAGGCAGGTTCCAACCGTTCCCCTCTCCTTCCAGAGCTGCAGCAGTATTACAACAACCAGGGCCGCTTCCCTGACAGCAGGGTCATGCTGTGCTTCGGAGAGGAGTTCCCGGACGCGGTGCCGCTGCGGTGTAAGCTCATCCTTGTCCAGGTACGGATGGATGCCCTTTGAAGCCCTGCTGCTGCATCTCCCACCTTGTCTGGACCATATTGCCTTGTTTTTCCCTGCACAAGCAGGGCTCTAGCTTCAACCCCCAGAGCCACAGGGCATTTGGGTGCATGAATTGGGGGGGTGGAAGGTGTGGTGTGAGTATCAGTTTATCCACAGCCTCCTGAGAGGTGCTTGTGCTGTTGCCTGTCAGACTCCTTGATCTGGGTGGATCATGTTTGCAAAAAAACTCACAAATAGCAAAAGCTTTTCTAAACCGCTAGGAAATCTGTTCTTTTCCTCCTGCCTCTTGGCACTGGAGCGTCTGCCCTCTCCTGTGGGAAATGGGGGAATAAAAGCCTGGAGTGGGTTGAGTTAAGGGACAGCCTCAAGCTGAATGGGCAGCAGATGTGGTGGACAACCATGGTGGCCAGCAGTGGGGCTGGGAAACCTTCAGGAGGGTGAAGGAGGGGAGGGGATGGGATAGGGTAGGATGAGAGGGGCAGTCCCCACGGCTCTGGCCAGAAACTTCTCCCTGGAGAAGCTGAAGCAATTCTGGGATCTCAAAGCCCTGGGGCAATGCATGGGGTGGGGCTGGAGCCTGCACCCAGTGTGGGACCCCTTTGGGCTAACAAGGCTGCGGCAGCGGGCACATGGCATGGAGGGGGTAGGGAAGGTGTTGCATCCTTGAGCAAGCAGAGACCCACCAAGTCTGAGGTCCTGGAGGGGATTTTACAAGTTCAGAGACTGATCCTATGCCTCTGCAGAACTTTCTGACCTGCTCCCCTCTTCTTGCCTTGGGTGTCTGCACCAGAGGATCACTCTGGGGCATCCCCCAGCCTGTCCTCGGCTGCTGGTAGCTCTTTTGGGAGAAGAGCTCTTGTGACCGCTCTGTTTCTCTTAGAGGTGCTTGGGCCAAGGTGGCTTGTGCAGTTGGACCTGTTGGCCTGGCTGAACCTGGCCACCCAGATCTGTCTGGTAGGACTGCTGTGTCTCACTGGTGGGAGTGGATGGCAGCAGTGGGAGAAGCCCAAAGAGGTTCCTCTTCATTCAATAGCTTCATGACTTTCCTTTTTTTGTGTAGGTGGAGCAGCTGTGTGTCAGGCAGGTGGTGGAGGAGGCTGGGAAGACCTGCAGCAGCAGCCCCATGCTCCCCATTGCTGATGAGACACAGCACGACCAGGTGTACAGGATCTTCCAGGACATCTGCGCCACGCACCAGCGGCCGCTCTTCAGAGAAAACCAACAGATTGCTGTCTGAGCCGCCTTCTCTGCAGGCGTAGTGTGGGGCTTTGGGTCGATCTAGACCCGCTTTGGTCCCATTAGTGCCTAAATTCCCCTTTTGGAGAGTTGGTTTTTGTTCTTTGCTGTTTCCAGCCCAGAGTCTGTACTAGTACAGCAGTTAAAACTGCCATGAGAAAGTCAGTTGGATGCTTAGGATCTGTCCCACAGACACTTTACTGGATAAATTACTTCTGACCAAGGAGGGCTCTTGGAAAAGCCTTAAAATGCTCAAATGCAGGGAATTCTTTCCAGAAATAATTTCCACCCCCCGCCCCCGCTCCGAAGAGTCCTGCTGATGGAGGATAGGCTATGCCTTCCATGGAGAACCTTTTCAAATTCCCTTTTATTTTTTTTTTTATATGTCTGCCTGCCAAAGTGTTTTGGAACTTGGAAACCGATGCAGGGTTTATATATGTAAATGTTGAATATAAGAACTGAGGAATCTTAATTTTTCCTAACTAGAGACAGTTTTTATATAAATATATAATATCTT